AGACTGTAGCTCTGCTTACCATGAGTGTGTGCAAAATTGCTGAAGCATTTACACTGCTGTTCCCCAAGATGGCATAAATGCCACAGCACTGTAATGCTCATTCATACACACATGCCTACCTATGGGGTCAGATCCTGCAGCCACTTCCTCGCTGGGGGTCCTATTTTGCAAGGTTCAGGCATGCATGCCTCCCATCATAGAGACAAAAGCATTAAAAAGCAATAGGAAGATCAATACGCACGCATCTGAATGTGCTTTCACAGACCTGTCAGGGTAACAAGCTAGAGATTTTCTCTCCAAAAAGAAATTGTAATGATCTCTAGCAAAGGGAAGGGATCATTTTCAGGGATTGAAAATGGCATTACAAGGTGCAATGACTTGAAACTAAGAAAAAAAAATGGAGGAAAATGCAGGTTGGAAGATAAAACAATCTTAACAGTAAGGGCCATTAAGCATTAGAATGATCTTAACTATCTCCCGCGTTGGGGACCGTCACGAGAGATATTTAAACATTGCATAAAATACCTGCCGGAGTGAATTGGCAGGCAGAGTGGGACCTGGGAGATGTTTGGGATGATCCATGAGACCTTTTCTGGTCCTTTTTTTTTTGAAGTCAGAAATATGCGGTAATATATCAAATGCCTAGTTGTGTCTGCCCACAAGCTTGGATGGTGTCAGATGTCTGTCCCTGGGCTTCAGGACCACGCTGAATGACCTTCTCTTGCTACAGCCTTGTTGACAAGCTGTTCCAGAGCATCAGTGCTGTGCTGCTCTTCTAGAGCAGAGTTGTCCAACTTCTAAGTGGCTGGGGGCTGCCCCCACCCCTCCACTACCCAGGCAACTCACCAGCTGCAGGCTCCCCTGCTGCACTGTGCCATGGGCATCCATGTCCTATGCCACTCCTGGGTGCAGGAAGCAGAAGCCAGAGGGAAAGCCTGGGGACCCCAGCTACTGCTGCTGCAGTCAGAGTGACGGGGAGTGGTGGCTGGTGGGAGTTGGGAGTCGGGGCGGGGCTCAGATTAAACCCTTGCAAGCTACCAGTTGGACAGCCCTGTGCTAGAGCCTCTGCAGTTTGTACAGCACCTTGCATACTGGGGTCTGATGGCTAGAAAATGCTGTTTAGAGGTTTGCTTTTGGGAACTGGCTTGTAGGTAAAGTAGATATGCATTAGAACAACAGTCCAGGGCAGGCAGACACAGGCTGGGAAACTGAAGACCTGTACCACACTGTTCCATAACGTGAGATAAGGGACTCTGCCATGTTGGCCAGGTCACAGTGCCCAGCTGCAGAGCCCTTGGGCTTTCTAATTTTGGGGAACAGACCAAATTAGGAGAAGACTGGGAAGAACCAAATTAGGATGTGTGCATGTTTGTGAAACAAAGGAATATGCTGACCGGACAGAACGTGGACAGTATGATGACCACAGGGAGACCAATCAACGATGCCCAAAGATGAAGAGTCATCAGAGGAGAGAGAGAATATAAAAGGAGAGATTTCAGAGCAGCAGAGGGACCCTGAGAGGTGAACCTGGGCCCACCACTAGGAGCAGGGTGGCCTTCAGCCTAAGACCTCCAGGCTGCTGACATCTGACATTCAAGAGAGAACCTCAGGGTGAAGTTTGCATCCGGGCCGTCCTGTATCTCGACTCTGTGAACACTGGGACTAGTAGATATAGAATTGTTTGCCTTATTTTTATCTGCTATCACTGTGTATCAGCAAAATCCACCTATTATCAAATGGAGAGGTTGTGGTCAGCCTGAGGGTCTGGGTCCACCCAGAACAAGGTACCTTGGTCATAAATCCAGTGCCAACAGGGTCTTGGTGCATTACTAGGGCTTTTACGTGGCAGTGTAATAAAAATAAACATTGATAATTAAAGCTTTTCCAAGCACTTCAAGTGGGCCCGTGTTGCTCAGCAAGATTGTGCCTGTCCAGAACCGTACTCGAGAGCGGGTCCAGTGACCCGTGCTCCCAGCGGCTGGTTCTGAACAAGCAAAGGTCTGAACTGACAATGACCCTTATGCTCTCAAATTCTGGAAGAACGTGGCCCTTCTGCCCCGTTGGGGTTAGCGTAACATTTATTGAGATTTGATATTGTTGGCTGCCACTGCCCACCAGAGCTGATTCCTGGCCCCCTTGCTTCAGTGCGAGATGGGTGCCTGTCATTGTACTTAAAAAGTAAGAATCAACTGGAGAGACGGGGGGGTGTAGTGGCTAACAAGGAGGGTGTGAGGGGTATGGGAGACTCTCCTGTGGCCTCTTCCTTCCTTTTGCTTGTTCAGCTCTGTTCATTGCGAGATCTCCAATTCTTTTTTTTCCCCTATATTGGTATTTCTATTAATCACCAGTTCCTTTTCATTTGAAATATGTCCGAATATAATAAACGTCGGAGGAAATCAGTCCCACATTGGCCGTAAATTGAGAGCTGTGCTGCGGGTTGAAAGGAACCGGGCAAAGCCTTTTGGGGTGTAAATTGACTTCGATTTATTTCCAAAATCCTTCTAAAGTGCTTTTATGCGACCACTCATTTCATTAGGACGATGTCTTGCTCTGAGCGCTCTGTGCAGTTTTACAAGATCAGGTTTTTTTTTTTTGGAGCATAAAATATACGTCGCCCTCCTCCTCCGAAGTGGTCTGTCCTGCCTGTCGCCGCTTGCCCCCTTGCAGTAGCAGTGCCTGGCTCCTTACCCGTTCATCTTAAACCAGCTCATGGAGGAGCAGCTGAGTAGGGAGTGAAGAGATTTGTTTGGAGTCCAGCAGCAGCCCTGGACATAGGATCTGGGTGTCCAAAATCCCAGCCCCGTGCCCTAGCCATTAGCCAGCACTGCCCTCTCCACTGTTGTTATGATGTGAGGTGCAATTCCCTTATCAGTAATAATCCTCTGCCTCCAACTTGCATTGGGGAGAGGGGAAGGAGGACTTTGCTCTCCATTGTGATTGAGTCCTGGTGATTTCTTTTTTTCCTAGCACGTTCTGCCTACGTGTCGCCTGTTCTGATGGGCACGTGTGATCAGGCTTGACATGCATGTATGCCCTGTTCTTTCATGCCTCATTTGACCAAGGCAACTTCTGATGCTTTACAGCAATCAGCTGGAAAGTGCATCTAGGAAAAAAAATCTTAAAAAGGGGGAGGGAGGGAGAGAAACCTGGGAGGGTGGTTAATTATCAGATCAAAGCCAGACATTTACGGAGGGCGCTGTCGGACTAACTGCTTTCGTGCTGCCTTAAAAACTTGCCACGCGCACCTCGTGTGAGACAGCATGTTGGCAATAGGTGGAAAAGTTGCATTCAGCTCTCCTATTGGCTCCTTGGGACCAGGGATGGACTGTCGTCTAGTTTGCACAGTATTTCATTGGCATCTCTGGACACTTCCTTGAGACCGATCATGAATATATAGGCGGTTTTGGGGAGATGAATGGATGGCATCAATGGCTGTTGCACCAGGCTTCAGGTCTCCAAACCTCAAATTGCATCCTAACCAGCTACTTAATAGTATTTTACCCACCAAACATGATAAATCATTGCAGTGGATTTGAGATATTTTTTTCTTTTATAAAACTATTTTCTGCTGACCTGGGCTGTTGGTTTTGTTTGTACCTCCCTGCCTGCAGCGCACTATTGGAAGGGAGTTGAGAGTTTATGGATGTGTCTTTATAAATATGGCCAAGAGGTACTGAAGTTGCTCAGCACTAGGCATTCAAAAGGCTGGGAGTTAAAAAGCCCAGTGATTTTTACCCAATAGTAAAAGTAGCTCTATTTTTTTTGTCCTCCAGTGTCTGGGCTGGAAGGGTTGTTTCTGAGTGTTTCTTTGCAACTGTGAGAGCTGGAAACTTCATGGATTTTT